CGAGTGTCTTGGCCTAAAGGACAGCTAGAGGGGGAGCAGAAAGGCTGTCTCCTGGGCTATCGTCTCCCTGTGGTACCCAAGGCAGAGCAGAAAGGGGGATGGGGGTGTTCAGGGTGGGGGGAGGAGGAAGGTCTGTCCCCCTCCTCCTCAGGCTTTTTGCTGTCGAGTCACCTCTCTGCTGCGTCTAACATAAAAAAATAAAATTTAAAAAAAAAAAAAACAACCAACTAAAATCACCACAAAAAGGGCAATACAAGTAGAGTAACGAGGTCCAAGACTGTGGGGGAGAGGTTTCCCTCTAAGCCCACCTTGCTGCTGGCACCCCTGGCAGCACCCTCTCCTCCAACTACACCACCCCTTGCTCTCTCCCACCTTCTGATCCCCCCCCCAAGAAGAGCTATCTTCTAAGATTTTGTCTCATTTCTGGATGATTTTGCAGCAGAAGGAGTTCCCACCACCCTGGGAGAAGGGGGTCCCACCGGCAGCCGGGGGTGCTTTGCCTTTGGCAGCTGAGATGGATTGAGTTCCCTTTCAGGCTGCCATGGAAGGGTTAAAAGGAAAAGAAAAGGCTCTAACCAGACAAAAATAGGGAGAAATCTTCGAGAGGAGAGAGAAGGAGGAGCGGAGAGAGGGAGAGAAGGAAGGAGGTGGAAGTGGAGGAGGACAGCAAGTGGCGGAGTGAGGAAGAAGAGGGGGAGGAGGAGAAAGGTCTAATGGCTTTTCCATTAATTGCACCATTACCCACCTTCATCCCCACCTTGCATCCCCGCATCCAGCCTCCCGCTCCCACGTGGCCCACCGGGAGAGGACCCTGGTGGCAGGGCCGAGGCTCGTTTCCCACGCATGAGCAAGGGGACAGGGCCATGGTCCCCAAGGGCTGGTGGCCTCCGGAGCCCACCCTGGCCACGCCACCATGCCGGCACAGCATACTGGGCACCCTCACTTGGGACGATGCACGTCCGTGATCTGTGCACTGGGGATATATGATGGTCCCCAAAGCGCCTCCCTGTCCGTGCACGTCTCCTCCCCATCCCACTTCCATGCAAGATGGGGCTCCATTTGCCACCCCTGGGGCCATGCTGG